CTTACTCATTGTCGTTGGGCGATCTCTCTTCTGTGTGCATCTACGACCACCATTCATGGGGTTTATTCATTCAGCAAATGTTATTGAACACCTACTAGGTACCAGGCACAGTATGACTCCCAGGTCAAGATTTGCAACCTGGATTTCTCTTTAAATGTCCAACAGTACATCAAATTACCTTCAGAATTTCATATATGTATGAAATATTATTTATGTTTACATTATTATTCATAATACAATAATGAAAATATTTGTCTTTGGCTATGATTTTTGAGACAGGGCTTCAGGTGCAAATGACTTAGTAAGGGCATTCTCTTCAGGAAGAACTTGTAAAGGGGTACGGAGATGGAGAAACAGAGTAGCAAACAGGAAGGACCGGCAAGGATGTTGTCTCAATCTAGTCAGAGACTGAGGGGGAGAATGGGGAGGCTCTGGAGCCTAAATCACACTTTGGAGTTACTCTGCACTAAGGTAAAGAGTCTGGGCTTTGGCATCCCTATATCAGAGAGGCACCACCCTCCCTGGGTGTGGGTATAACCTCCACGTTCCTCTTGGAGAAATGGAACCCATCAGCCAAAGGCAAGTCTTCAGAGATGGTCACAGGTATAAGCTGACAGCTGCAACACTGTTGGAGCTGGGGACTGGGCACGGTGGTCAGTGGAGGAGCCCTGGACGGGACACCACCAGTGTCTCCCATAGCAGCTAAGACTTTGTCCAGATGATGTGCCTGGCATCATCATAAGTGCTTTATGTATATTAACAAATGTAACCTTTAAAATAACCCTGTAATGTAGGTACCATTATTCACCTTTTACAGCGCAGGAACTGAGGCATAGAGTTTAAAAGTGACTTGCTTAAGGTTTCCCAATAAGTAAATGATGGAGCTAGGGTTTAGACCAAGGCAGGGTGGTTCTAGATTCCATACCCTTAGTGCTACCTTGAATTCCTCAGTGTGTTGAGTTTTAGCATACACAGGCACTATGTTAGCCACTGGGAATTCTGCAGGGAATGAACACAAAAATCCCTGGCCACTTTGAGTTTATTTTCTAGTGAGGGAAGATGGACAATAAATGAATAAGGAAAATGCATGATCCAGATAGTAATAAGTGCTAAGAAAAAAATAAATCAGGGAAGGGAAGTGGGAAGTGCTGTGTGACAGCTGCAGCTCCACTTAGGTGACATTTTAACAAAGACCCAAAGGAGGTGGCTATCGCCACTCCCTCCGGCTGGCCCCAGCATATTCTCCCTCGGCACAGCTAGGGTGATGTGTCCAAGCCACCTGATCATGCTCCTTCACTGAATGACACCCTCCAGTGGTTCCCATTGTTGTCGGGGGAACCCAGCACTCCTGCCATCCTGATCCGAGACCTGCTTCCATTCCTGGCTCTTCTCTGGTGTCCGGGGCAAGGGTACAAATGGAAACCCCCTACCCTATGTCTAAATATTGAAAATTAATATATCAAGCTAACAAACTGTTAAAACACATTCTATCCGTCTACCTTGACAAATGTGTCTTCATCGTGACACAGGGGGCCAACCTCATATTTCCACTTGGACTCCTCTGAGTTCTGTGCCAGAACTTGGCAGCACAGGGAGCCCAGTGCCCAGGCCATGCTCTGCCTCCCTTCTCTGCCCACTGCTGCCCAGCTCTGTCCTCTGCTCCGGTGCAGGGGTACCTCATGCCTGCCTGTGGACTCCTCAGCTCACATATCTGTGTTCTAGCCACAGCTGTGCAACTAGCAGCCCTTGGCCTTATTAGTGCTCATACTGGTAGTGTCACTTGCCTTAGAGGACTAGACCTGGGGAACAGGTACACATGAGCCCTGGGAGCAGGCTAAGGGCCCTTTGGACAGAGAATTTTCAGGGTTCAGGCACTAGGAGCTTGGTCTCTGAGAGAGGTCAGGGAACAGCACAGACTCTATCTGGGCAAGTGTCCTTGGCCCCAGGGAGGGGTGAGAGAGGGAGGGTATGCAAGAAGAGGGTCAGAGCTCAGAGTAGGGCTGTCTAAAGCTCTCAGAGTATCACTCTGTCAGCAGTCTCTTCCTTACCCATGTGCCTAAACCAAAGTGAATTACTTGAACTTTCTCAACATGCCATGCTCCTTTGCCTTTGTGGTTCTGTAATCTTAGAGACTGCACAATAGAGGTCATTCGCTTGGACTCCTTGTCATGATTTCCCTCATCTCCTGTGAGCTCCCTAACCTAATCCCCTCATTGCTGACTCTTAACCCACCTCCAATGACCAAAATGCCACTCATAGTGGCCATGGTGATGGGATGTAATATCTTATAGTGACCTGAGGGTGGGCTTTAGAGTGAACAGTCCTGGTTTTGATTATTTGCCTAGCCACCTGCTAGTTATGTGACCTTCAGCAAATTCTCTGCCTCAATTTCATCACTTCTCACATGGACATTACCATACGAAGTTTATAAGGTATTGGAAGGATAAAAAGAAATACCATATGCCAAGTGCTCAGCCACAGTTCCTGGCATAGAATAAGCATGTGTTAAGAAGTTCTTTTCCTTCCCCAGCTATGCTGCTTCTTTGAAACCAAACACACAAAGCACCGTGAGAGATTAGGCTGTTTCACAGAAAGATGTCGTTTAGAGTAGCTCTCAGCCCCCGGGCTTCCTTCTCCATCTCCTGAGTCAGTGAGGACTCACTAGATAATATTAGTATCTGATTTCTGCCTTCGTTGCCTATTGCCCACCACATTTAGATGCCGGGATAGTCAAACTCCAGCTCTTGGTAGCAACACTAACTACTTTTGCTAGGGATGAAGAGTTCTCATGTCAGCACAGTCGTGGTAACAGGGACAGAGCCTGAGGAGCAGGTACACAAGGAAGTTGGTCGTATCACAGGAAAGGTAACACTGACAGTTACCTCGCAGTGCCTGACACAAGTGGGCATGCAACCAATGTGTGTCAAGCTGAGGAAACTAAACTCAAAGAGAAAAGCCATTAAATCCCAGTAGGAAGTGGATGAAAGACCTGCTTAGGTAAGTGACAGAAGAAATACTCCTGGGCCAGTGAACTACAGCTAATAATCAGAAATACAAATCTAAGTGTAATGCAGTGTTTGTCCTACAGAATGGGCCGAGTTCAGTACTGATGAAGATACAATAAGTTGATATGTCCTTCTGCAAAGCAGTAATGAGAACAATTGAATAATTTATGGTGTAGGTATAAGACAGGTGGACTATGTGTCATTAAATGTAAGAGTTTCAAAGAAATTTTAAATGAGAAAAAACTGACAAGTAGAATACTATATGGTATGAAAATTACATGCACGAAAATACTGAAAAGAAATAGGACAGTATAATTTTTTTAAAAAGAGGTGCTACCATTAGCACCTCTCATGTAGATCTTTGAACTTTTCTATAATGAGCAGGCATTTCTTTTCTAATGTGAAAGAAATTCCATAATTTAAGAAAATGACACATTGCTTTCATACACTAGGTCAGACACAATTATGTATGGATGACAGTGGCCACTTGTTGACTCAGATTTTGGAGACACAAAGACTCAGCCTTCTTCCTGTGCTGAATCTAGCCCTTTGTATGAACAAGAAGAAATGGAGAGAGTTTTCTGCCTGGGTACTTTCCCCATCTGACTGCAAGTCCTGCCTCAGCTGCCTCACGCTTGAGACATTCATGCGGTTGCAGGAACTGTGGTCTCCTCACCAGGCTGTGACATTCTCGTGACTGTTGAGATCTGAGAATGAAGCCAAGAAAGAGGTTTTATTTCCACGTGTGGCTTAATCCTTCCAACTGTGGCCTCAGCTCCAGTGTTGTCCGTGATTGTGACGCAGCGGTACCCATCTGTGGGCCATGAGTAGGCCCAGTGGTTTGAGCAAGTACCGTCTGGGGAACAGGACATTAGTGAAAGATCCTAAGGAAGTACACCAGTGTTTATATAAAAATGTGAATTAACCAAAGTATATTTGGAGTGATAAATGGATAGGTTAAATAAGCCAAGAAGAAAAGACCCCTTAACTACCAAAACAAAAACTTTCTTCCAAATTGAGATGCTGTAACTTATTTTGACCTTCCTTTTATTCTTTTGAATCTTATGAGTTACTGTTAAAGTCACAGTATTTGAATGAACTTTGCTACTTAGTAAGCTACAGAGCAATATCCTGATTAACTTAGCCTGCTTATTTTTTGGTTTTCAAGATGGTCTCTGTCCTTCATCTGGCCTTGATTTTAGGAGTAGCTTCCCCCTCTTCACTTCCTGAAGCATGCCTTTTTTAGACCCTGACTCTTGTAATGGGAGTACATGGGACCAGTACTGTATCCACCTTCCTAATTAGCCCCACCTTTGGCTGTCTAGGAGTACTCAGCATGACTCGACCATCTGACTTTTTATAAGCTGATAAACATTTCAAACTATAAGTAATATATCTTAAATGCAGTAGTAGGAAATGTGTATTATTAATATTTTTCTGTATCATCTCTTATCAATTAGTAGATCAACCTAGAACCTTTTATTGAAAAAGATTTTTTGGCCCAGTGAGTGGTAAAGTGCACCAGTGACTGCCACTGATGTGGGCATGGGGAAAGGCAGCACTTGTGCGGAGGATTTTCTGTCTCGGAGTTGAGGGCAACAGGGTCCCTGTCTTTAGAGAGCTTGTTTTCAAATGGGGAAAACAGGATCCCTCCCAGCAGCGCGAGAGACAAAAACTGAATGTAAAATCAAACATAATTGTGAATACCCAAACAGTAAACACCCCAACAAGTGCAAATGAATATAGGGAAGGCTGAGTTAATTGCTAAACGCTAGAAAAAGGCAGAATGCCCTCAGACAGATGGAGTTCATCTGGAAGGGTTTTCTGAAGCAGTGCATTATAGAGTTGGATTGGAAGACAGCCAGGAGACCTGGTGTGAAGTTGGAAGGGTGGTCCAGATTAAAAGGAATGCACATTTCCCGATGCTTTTTGACCATGTGCTTCAAAGTCTCAGCTGCCCAGAGTGACCATGCCTGGCCTCTGACCTCCCCACAGTGAGGACGTGTGCAAACGTGGCTTCACCGTCATCATCGACATGCGGGGCTCCAAGTGGGACCTCATCAAGCCCCTCCTCAAGACGCTGCAGGAAGCTTTCCCAGCTGAGATCCATGTGGCCCTCATCATTAAACCCGACAACTTCTGGCAGAAGCAGAAGACCAACTTTGGCAGCTCCAAATTCATCTTTGAGGTGAGCCAGACCGCTGTCTCAGCACCCCCTTCCCCTTCCACCACCCACACACTTCTCACTTGTGCTTCCCCATCTACCCTACTGTGCGCATGGTGGCGGCTGGTACTTCAGGATTCCTTGGCTGCTGTGGCCTGACCAGTTAGTATATAGGGAGGCATAAGAGGATCAAGAGATTGTCCTAAACGCACAATGTCAGTAGGCAATTAATTCTGTGAATGTGTAAATTAGGACAGTTGTTTCTGGGGGCAACTTTGTAATTTGGGTGAAATGCCTTAAAAAGAGTTTATAACCATTGACCTAGTAATTCTTATTGGAAAAAAATGTTAATATAAAAATGAAACAAAACCTTTTTAAAATCTAATTATAATCATAAACAAATAAAGGTCTACACACCTTTGTGAATGGTGATGTTCATTCATCATAGCGTTATTTGCAATGATATACATACCTATATATACATCTCCACATATAAACATACACACGCACACACAGAATACGTACAGATTGTATTCTGACTATCCATTAATTTTAGTGACTAATATGCAAATACTATGAAGCCATTAAAAATCATAGTTGTATGTTAATTATATCTCAATAAAATCATATTTAGAAAAAGTGTCTTTGAAAAATGTTCACGAAATATTGGTTTAAAATGGCTGGTTATAAAATAGTATGGGTGTATAATCTAAAATTTGTTTTTTTGAGTGCATATATGAAGAAGACGGAGAGACTGAACATGTTAGCAGACTATTAGAAGTAGCTAGATTGTAGGTGGTTTTTATTTTCTTCACATTTTCTATATTCTTTTATACTCAGGGAGAACATGTTATTTTTTTAAGCTAATTATCCCAGACAGCAATGTGTCCCCTGGGAATTTTTAATGATAACATATCAGATTAAATCAATGATCTAGGAAACTTTGTTCCAGCCAAATTCGAGCTTCCCCCTTTCTCAGAATGCTGGCCCTCATCTGCAAGGGCATGGGCCTTGTCTCCGTGTGCCTGTTGGAAGGCAGAGCTGCTCTTAAACTTGCAGCCACTTTCCATCCCAGAGCCTTTCCCCCAGGCCCAGGAGCGCCTCTGAGTGGTGCGGTGGCCCCAGGAGTCTGTCACTGAGACTTAGCACAGCAACCTGACCACCTGAGCCAGGCAGTTCTCACTCTGTTTAAACGACACAAAAAATATGATTTGGTATAAAAACAGTTCTTACACTCTCCCAGCACTGCTACCCAACATTAGGAGTCCTGTATTTTTGTAGTTTCAGTTTGTTTATACAGAGGCAGTAATAACAAGCCTATACATGTTTATAACCTGAAAAGATCGAAAGTAATCTTTCTAACAAGTCCTGAAACTTTCCTTCAGTGGAGGTGCCTAACCCTTCCCATCTCCCTTCACCCCAAGCTGAGCAGCTTGTCTCTGCCTCCTAAACAAGAGGTATGGGGGAGAGAACTGGGGCCTCCCACTCGGAAGAGTATTTATAAAGCAGTGCCTTACAAACAGCCAGTGAAACACCACATGCAGACTGACAGTACAGACAGTTAATGAATAACTGGTGAATATAATCACGAGAGACTTCCAGGATGTGGTAAATTTGGAGCCAGGTTTGAAGGGGGAAGCGCTATAGAACAGGGCTGCTCCAAGTTTAATGTGCAGAGTCTCCTGGGGACCTCGTTAAAGGTAGATTCTGATTCAGCAGATTTGGGAGAGTTCTGAGATGCTGCTGTTCTAACAAGCTCCCAGGCGGTCTTAATGTTGCTGGCCCTAGGGCCACACTTTGAGTAGCAAGGATCCAGACTAGAAGAGGTTTGTAGCACTGGTTGCACATTAGAATCACCTGGGGAGCTTTTAAAACAACCCACGCCCAATCTCCAATCCAGGCCAACTAAATCAGAGAAGGGCATCTGCTACCAGGGAGAGCCTCCTCGTGGGGTAGAGGCCTGCCCAGCCTGAGGCAGGAATAGACTCAGATGCTTGCAGCACAAGGATTGACCCACATTGCTTAATGCAGCTGTGGTGATGTCCTGGGTTCGTGGGCCTGCATGGGTTTCTAAGCTATGGATAACTAGACCTCCAGGCCCTGGGTCTGTTTTACTTCCAGCTTCTCCTGCTTCTAGCATCTGAAGCTCTACTGCAGTGGACTGGGGAGCAGAGAGGAGGAAGATGAAGGCAGCAGAGACTTAAAGGCAGCCTTTCCTGGAATGGCAAATGGGAGGAGGAGAGGCTTTTTGATCCACTCAGCCAGTCTATTGAAACTGCTTTCCTGGCTGATCTGTGGCTAATGGCCAGTGGGCCACATGCTCCCCAAGGCAGGCTGTGATCATGATTATGTGGACTTATCTTGGCCCCTTGACTTTCCTCCTGCCTACTGCTGTTCTGGTCTTTCCCTCACTCCCCCTACTTCTCTGAGTCTCCCTCTCTGTGTCTGCCCTCCAGACGAGCATGGTGTCTGTGGAAGGCCTCACAAAGCTGGTGGACCCCTCCCAGCTGACTGAGGAGTTTGATGGCTCCCTGGACTACAACCACGAGGAATGGATCGAGCTGCGGCTCTCCCTGGAGGAGTTCTTCAACAGCGCTGTGCACCTGCTCTCACGCCTGGAGGACCTGCAGGAGATGCTGGCCAGGAAGGAGTTCCCTGTGGATGTGGAGGGCTCTCGGCGGCTCATCGATGAGCACACGCAGCTCAAGAAGAAGGTGCTGAAGGCCCCTGTGGAGGAGCTGGACCGGGAGGGGCAGCGGCTACTGCAGTGCATCCGCTGCAGCGATGGCTTCTCAGGGCGCAATTGCATCCCTGGCAGCGCTGACTTCCAGAGCCTGGTGCCCAAGATCACCAGCCTGCTGGACAAGCTGCACTCCACCCGGCAGCACCTGCACCAGATGTGGCATGTGCGCAAGCTCAAGCTGGATCAGTGTTTCCAGCTGCGGCTTTTTGAGCAGGATGCCGAGAAGGTAGGAGGGGAGCATGCCCCCCTGGGGCCGGGGTTTCAGCGGGGGGGCACAGCTTTTTAGTGAAACTGCTGGTCCAGTTTTCTGATTAATGGCAATACTTTTGAGGAAAGCATTTTTGTTTGTTTGTTTTTTAAGTGCTTACTGGTATTAGCTGGTACACATTTATTGCAATGTTATATGTAGCCATTGATCACTGACTTTTTAAAGGCCTCTTGCCAAAGCTGGTTCTTCTGTCTAGCTATTGCTCAGTTGTTTGTTCCGGGTGGTTTCTCCACAACGGAGTTGGAGAGTTCCAGATTGGCCCTGGGAGGAGGTCAGTGTGACTTCCATTCACTCCTCTACCATTTTCCCTCCCCTTAAAGCTCTCTTTATGTAGTGTTTATATGCACCCAGTACTGTTCTAAGCATCAAGTGTAAATTAACTCATTTTCATCCTCTCTAGTCCTATAAGGTAGGTGTAATATCATTATCCCATTTTACAGATGAAGAAACTGAGAGGCTAAATAACTTGGCTTAACAGGGAAGTGCAGGATGCCTCCAGGGTCCATGCTTTTCCCCAGTGCTGGACACTGCCTCTCTCAGGACATGTAGTGAATGATTCAAGCTGGCTGAGCAACAAAAATAACAATACTGTTACCAGCCACGGTAACAAAACTTTGTGATTGTTGCCATGCAATGTACCTATCTGCAGAGCCTTATTTAATCTGCATGGCTTTTCCATCCTTTGAGGTGCATGGTGGTGTCTCTGCTGAAGTCCAGGGAATTTGAGAACTCCTTGATCTTGGGTCTCCAATGGCAGACTTGACGTATGAATCCAGTTCTTTCCAGTTTGAAGTACAGGACTCTTCTTGGCATCCCACCTCTTTTTGAAGGTTTTCCTTGGGGGCTCAGCACTTGAGCAATGCTCCGTTTTTCCAGCAATGAATTTTCATAGCTTTCCCTTATCAGGGGAGATATGAGAAAGTGAAAAGAAAATGTATCATATAGTGCCTCTTTGCTGAGGACACAAATATATCTTCTCTAGGTTCTTTTCAAGCTAAAGAGTTTACTACTATATGTGCTTTAGGGGGAATGAAATGCCTTTCTAACAGTTTTCTGGAAATAACTTCTATGCAAATGCACAGTGCCACTCCACATCTCAGTAAACTGTGGATTTTACAGACAGTGGCTAATATAATGGTTCTCTCAGAGCTCATGTTGAAAATGTCTCTAGATGTTTTTGAGTGATGAAATCAGGATATAAAGCTCTATATAATGATGATCCTCATTTACATGAGCGTGCCAGCATACCTGGAAGAAAATGCACTACAGTGTGAATAGTTTCAATTTCTAGGTGTCAAGTTTATGGTTAATTTTAATTTCTCTGTATAAATCTTATGTATTTTCAATTTTTTATTATAATCAGAAGAAAATCAATATATGCCATTTTAAAAGAATGTATAGTCCCTTTCTACAACGGGACTTTGGCCGTCATTTGAGCCAGACTTTTTAAGGGACTTATAAAGGGGTTTCTTGCATAACCTTGGGAGTTGCAAGGTTTCCCCTGACCTTCCTGGAGGCTCTTTGCACAGTGACCTGGCAGCCTGGGTCTGACCCTGGCCTGCTCTGGGAAGGGCCACTTGGAATACAGAATCCTGTCACTGTTCACCAAGTGATGAGACACCAGGTCAGGAGCCAGCAGCTCTGTAAAGCCAGCAGCAGGTACTTTGGCTCCTGTGACTAAAAGTGTTAGAAAAGTCTGAAATATCTCCTTTTTACGTGGGGTCTCTTCTCCTCTGGGGCAGAGAACCTACTTTGCAGCCTGACCTAGGTGACCATTTCAGTGATCCAGGGACGGAAGGAGAGGCCGGAGACTTAGGTCTACCTAGTTGTATTTTAGAGGCACTTCACAGAATCCCTGAAGCTCAAGGTTATGGAAAAACTGCATTGGGCACCTTCTCAAAAACAAAACAAAGAACATGCCCTTAGCACTCGGAAGGTCCTGGTAGGGAAGGCTGACCTTCTAGACTCAGACAAATGCCAGTCAGCCAGGGAGTAATTGCTGCACCACACGCATCCTCTCAATACTTGCACACAAGAAACATATAGTATATTATTATTCCTCTTTTACAGTTGAGGGAATGGAAGCTCAAAGTGATGAAGCGGTTTGCCCAAGATCACACTGCTGATTACACAGAGCCAATATTTTGACAGTTTCCAAAGCCTACCCAAGCTCTTATCCAACAACCGCATTGTCCTCTGCTCCTAGGACCTGCCTCATGCTCCCGCTGAGCTCTGCTTGCTGGCCTCTGAGTCCCCTGGCCCAGGCTCTGATGACTCAAGAGGAAATCTGAAATCTCACCTCCTAATGCCCGTTTGACACCAGTGGCTCAACCATTCTGTGCTGTGGAAATCTAGGGACCCCATCATAGAATAATATTTGTAAATGTACAAAATATGTAGGCTGGGAACATAATTATTGAAATACAGTTTATAAGTTAAAAAACAGTAACATATGTACTTCTTTAGAAGCATGTTAAATAACAAAATCTACTTGAGGTCTCACAACTACCATAATTTTGAAGTAGCGATAAGCATAAATGATATTTTAGGGCAACAACCCTGATGTGATGTGAAAATATGTATGTTTCCACTGATGTCAGAGCCTCAAGTATTGCTGAGAGTAATGTAGTTTGTTGCTTACATTCACAATTGAAGTGAATGCTATATGTTAGCTAGAGGGTAGTGAAAATAAAGGCATATTTTTTCCCCTATCCAAGTACATGATCCCAGAATCCAGCACTCCAAGTTTAGGTTCCATGTACTATGGTGTGCTCACACCTTAAAAAGTGTGTGGATGGCTGTGGTGTAGAGAGGGGGAGGGGAGGGGAGAAGAATATTGAAAACAAAACAGAGGGAGTGAAAAGAGGATGGGAGGAGAGCAGCCCAGGACTGTTTTGATATTGAGCCAGTGGTAAAAATGCCTCTTGAGCCTGACCCAGCTGCCACAGAAAATATGCTGGGTGTGGGGAAGGGGAGAAAAACTGTCCTTTTACATTGCTTCAAGATTAATCTAAGATATGTGTGTAGAACTAAATGCCTCAGCCCTCGACATATTTGGTGTTTTGGGAAGGGGGTGAGAGGGGTGGCGGTTTGGGGGAGGGTTGTGTATGTGGATCCACGTCTGAACAAGGCATGAGGAAATAGTTACTGCGTGAGCCACGTCTGAACCTCCTTTCTGCTGGGAGGCTTATCACCGGTCTCTAATTTCAGATCTGGGAAGCTCTTGGCAATGGGAGGAGTCTAGTGATCATCCAGCTTCTATTTTTGTTAGGGGACGGGTGCAGAGTCTCCCCTCTGGCCCTGTGGGGTGACGGCCTGTTTTCCAGGCTCCCCATTTGCCATCTGGCCTTGGAGAGTGATGCCACCTCCTACCACCTTCCTTGACCTCTGTGATGACTCCCTGCATTCTTCATCTTGGGGGTGGTGGAGAGGGAGCCATTATCTCTCCCAATTAAGCATTTATGGAAGAGCAACTCCGTTCCAGAGCTAACTCATAAAGCTGGGCACCCATTCATTTAATAAACTTCTGTTGAGCATCTGTCATCAGCCCAAAACAAGGCACTTGGAAAAGACAAGTAGGCCAGAATTTTTGCCCTGGAGCAGCAAGCTGTCATAAATTCCTGTTTATTATTATTTATGCCTGCTGTATGCATCACACTGTCCTAGGTACAGCCTCTGTGATTGGGGATTTTTTAGAGAATGGGGTATATTGCAGCTCAGGACTGACAGGAAAGCCTTACTGAGCAATTTGTGAGAGAGCTGGGTGATACAGAGGTAATGCAAGTAACACATAGTACCTCTTGCTAGAAGATGAACACCGTTGTCTTGGCCCTGTGCCCTCTGGTCTGTAACTAATGGGCCTGTCCTCCACTGTGTTCACAGAACACAGGCCGGGTTGCTCCTCATTAGCCAGGCACAGATTATGACTCTCTTTGCAGCCCTATTTCACAGCCAGCCACCCCTCAGCTGCAGTGGAACCTGTGTGATGCAGGTGTCTGCCCTGTAGTCACATCCCATTCCCAGGGAGGAGGGAGGTCTCTTTCCCATTAGGGGGCAGACTATGGTATTAAGGATCATTAAGTAGACTCATTGTAGATGTCCCCTTGGAAAAGGGAAGGCTGGGTGCTAGTCAGTGGGGGGGTCGTGTCTAGCCCCATCCCCTTTCCTGGGTTCCTATGACACCTGAGAATGGTACAACTGGAAGAGCCCCTGATATAGAAAAGTCTACCTCCCATGCACTGTAGGAAACCCAGCCTTGTCATTCGGTGACAGCCATGTGACCTTACTGTGCCCATCTATGTGCTGATGCCAATGATAAGTATCAGAAAATACTGTAGCTACCACACCTCCAGCCTTCTGATCTGGGGAAGGCCTCCTATCTTCCAGTCTTTGTAGGGAAGGAGAAGTGCTTAGGTCTCCAGTGCCTAACTAGACTTAACTGATGGAGAAACCTTTGTCTACTTTGCTTCTGAATAAAAGAGGCTATACTGATGTCTACCCAGGAGTCCCATACCCTAGTCTTGTCCAAAGCCATTCCAGAAAGGAGTATATTCCCACTTTCCCACTTCATGGAGAATTCCCAAGAGCGGACAAAGCTACTCAGTGAGGCATCGGTATTGGAATTGTGCTCATTATTAGTTTATGCAGCATGTTGTGTTTATTTCATGTGTAAACCTGTTCTTGGGACATGCCCAGACAAGATCTTTATCACAGTGCTGGGGAGGGTATTTAGGTGCCCACCTCCTCTATGACCAAGGCATCTGCCCAGAGGAGGACCTCTCATTTGCTTACAGCACAGGTGGCAAACACAAGGCCCGTGGGCTCAACCCAGCCCTCTACCATGTTTTATCCGGCCCAGCACCTTTCTACCCAGCAGCAGCATCGAGCTCCTTGCCCCTGGTTAAAGAGTGGTTACATGTATACAGTCCTAAAATCACATTTGGCCCTTTGAAGGCAAC